AGAGACAAAAGGTTTTGCTATGTTGGCCAGGCTTGTCTCGATCTCCTGGCCTCAGATGATCCACCCACCTGGGCCTCCCAAAGCGCTGGGATGGTGGCTGTGAGCCACCAGGCCTGGCCTAAAAAGATATATATATATTTTTTTAAAACAGCACCAGGCTACATGGAGCCTTTCAACTCAATTCAATTCACCTGAACAAATATTCATTGATTATCAAGATGTCCTAAACCCCTGGACTGGGTTCCAGGGAAGCCAAGCAGTTTAACAGGCATGGAAGCTGCGGAGCCCCAAGGACCTCCTTCCCTGCTAGTCCCTGACTGCTTTAACTCAGTTTAGTGTGACTCTGGCAGAGTCAGAGAATTAGGGAAAGTTCAAGGCACTCTTAGGATTTAACCCTAAGTTTCTTATGGTTCTCTAAGCTTCCCCCGTGTGCCCAGGTGGTCTCACATCTGCAAGGGCCCTCCACGGTCAGGTACAATCAAGGATCTCATCATGCCCAATCTTTCCTCTGCCTACTTCTGGAGCCATACTTCTGGAATTTCCATGTAGAGCTACTTCCCTGAATTATAAACAGTCACTGGGAACCTCCCCAGTCTTCTGTACTCTGCAACTGCCATTTGCAAGACTTAGGAGAATGCTTCTGTCTCTGCCTCCTTGGGTCACACAGCACGTTGTTTTCATGCAAGACTGTTTGTGCCTTCATGGGAGAAGAGTCGGCCTGCTGTGAACAGCTTTCCTGATGATATCTGAGGGTTCTGCTTGCACAAGCCGTGAGATGGAGGGACACAAACACCCAGTCTCTAAAGACTGCAGATTGGTGGCCAGAAAGAGGGTTTCTGGATGCCCCAATATCCTTGGGGTCTCTAAAGATTACTTCTATAGGCATCTGTATTTGGCGTTGGACCTGGGAGATCCCTTGCCAAGTCCCAAACTCATCCTATGTAATGCGACACCTGGAAGGTAACTATTTCCTAGAGGACAGAGGAATCCCTTTAAAATACCTGTTCTTGTTTCCCAGTGGGAGTAACACAGAGACGCTATGAATCACCTGTGTTAATGGGACATCAGGGTCAAAAGGAGGAGAAAAGGCATAAGAAGGTCAGGGAAGAGGCACTGGTACAGTGATCTGACCAGAAGCACTGAGGTGAATGACCTAGAGGCCTGGTCTCTCCTCTGAGCCTGAGTTCCGCTAGGAATTGAGCACTTAATCCTAATACCTGAGAAGCTTTGGAGCCCCACTCTTTGTTTCTATATGCTTTCTTTTTGCCCACCAGAAACTATTATATGGGCCTATCTGCTTAGGAGCCAGAGTAAGGTATGGGAAGAGGGCAAATGTGCCCAGGGCAGTCTTCTCCCCGTGTTAGCTTGGATGCAGTGAGTCAGTCACAAGGTGTTAGTTAGGCTCCTCTGCCTGGCTCTTGGAAGCTCATGACTCTTGCATAGAGTCTCTGAAGGGTGGTAAAGGGAGATTTAAAGAAGACAAATGGAGGTTTGGATCAGAAGAGAAAAAACAGACACAATTACCCAGACTTGACTAGACATTCATGGGTCTTGAGAACATCCTTAAGAAATATAGTGCGCAGTGGTTCTCGGTCCTGGTGGAAAGAACAGAAAGACAGGTAAGTGAGGCTGCCTGTGACATATCATGACCAAGACCAGCTGACGAATACCCCTTTCTCAGAGATGGCTGGCTAAAATCAGGTTGACAAATAACCCGGTCTCAAAATAATCAGCAAGAGAAAAAAAAATCTGGCTGGGCAGAGTGGCTGCTGCCTGTACTACCAGGACTTTGGAAGGCCAAGGCTGGAGGACAGATTGAGGCCAGGAGTTCAAGACCAGCCTGGGCAACATCGTGAAACCCTGTCTCTACAAAAAATCCACCACTGTGCTCCAGCCTGGGTGACAGGTGACAGAGAAAGACCATGTCTCCAAAAACAAGAAAAAAGACAAAACAAATCTAAGAAGATGCTGTGTAGCTGTGATTCTGACCACACA